GCTGGTCAGACCAGACAGCAACCAATAAGCATCCCTTCTCCAACAAGTCTTGCATTGGCATGGATCTTCGTTTATTGATTCAAATTTTATATTAATATATATACCAATATTATATTAATATATATATATATATCTTCTATTGATTAAGGTATTGTGTTTGTGCAGCTCTTTTAAAATGTAAAGTATAGTTAAGAAATATAGTTTAATAGATAGTCATCTATAATTGTCAAAGTGTAGTTGCTTTAGTTAGGTTAGTTAGGTTTTCTAGATATATAGAGATATATTTCAGTTAGATAGGTATTCTTCAAATCTTTCAGAAATTTTCAGAATATGACATTTAAAATGTTTTAAGAACTTAGGACTTTTTATGACAGTGAGACACATCTGCTCCTGGCACCACCAATATACTTCAAGAGGATGATGGACATCATAGAGGCTCCTTACAGAGTCTGCCAGTCATTTGGGCAGGAAACAACTCTTGCCTGAACTTCTTGACTGAACTTCCAGCACTCACAAAAGTGACTTCTGAAGTTTCCTAAGGAAGGTAAGACATTCTTTCAGGGTTCCTGCTTCATTAAAGAGTCTACCAGACATTCTGCAGTACACAGAAGAAAGCAACTGATGGACTTTGACTTTACAAGACAGAACATATCTTCAGATTTCCTGTTTCATAGAAAAGTCTGCCAGATACTATGAGCCAACAGGCTAAAGATGGGTGCCCAAAATGTTACAAAATAACTTTGGATGACTTTCCAGGCAGAGAGAAGTCTCTGTCAATTCTGGAGTTGAGAAATTCTTTACAATGAAGTTCCTGTTTACTTAGGTAATATTATAACTTTCTGGAGTCTTTGATGGAGTTGAAGAATAGATATAGTTCTAGTTTTCCTTAGTTATTATAAAAGATAAGGTAGATATCAATATTGTAACTATAATTCTTACTTAATAACTGTTTTATTGTATTTGATTTTACTATACTAAATTTGAAATCTTCCTTTTCATTTAGACAAAAACGGGAAAATGGTGTGAGTGGTCCTTCTGTACATGTGTTGCTCTTATTAGTTAATTAATAAAGCTCTTTTAGCCAGTGCCTTGGCAGAATAGAGATTGGCATGGAAACTAAACTGATTGCTGGGAGAAAGAAGATGGAGACAGAAAAAGGCTTGTAGTGCAGGACGCAGCTGTGTTGGAGCCTTGCTGGTAAGACACAGCCACAGGTGATACAAAGATTATTAGAAATGGGTTAATTTAACATACAAAGTTTAGGCAGAAATATGCGTAAGCTATTGGCCAAACAATATTGCAAATAATAAAGTTTTTGTGTGGTTATCTGGGTTCTGGGCAGCTGGGAACAAAGACCAGCCTCCCCCAACACAAATGGATCAAAGACAACAATATAAAACAAAGTTCACTGAACTTCACAGAAGAGAAAGTGAGGAATATCCTTGAACGCATTTTCACAGGACACAACTTCCTGAACAGAACACTGACAGCATGAACACTATGGTCAACAATTAATATTGTTGACATCATGAAACTGAAAATCTCTGTAAGCCAAAGAATGCCATCATTTGAAGAAAGTGGAAACCTACAAAATGGGAAAAGATTTGTACCAATTTCACATTTCATAGAGGACTAATATCCAAAATAAATGAAGAAATCAGAAACTAAATATCAAGAAACAATTTAATTAAAATGGGGTACATTTCTAAAAAGAATTTCAATAGAGTAATCTCAAATGACTGAGAAATGTTAAGAAACCTTAGCCATTTTGTAAATGCAAATCAAAACTACCTTGAGATTTCATCTTACATCTGTTAGAATGGCTAAGTTCAAAACACAAGTGACATGCTGGTTAGGGTGTTGCATTAGGGGAACACTCCTCTAAAGTTAGTAAATGTACAGACACTATGTACAGACTTGTACAGACACTATGGAAATTGGTGTGGTGGTTCTTCAGATAGACGGTGACCTCAAGACCCATATATACTCTTGGATATATACCCAAAGAACACTCAATAGCTTTGTTCATTTCTGCTTTATTCATTAGAGCCAGAAATTGGAAACTACCTATTTGTTCCTCTGCAAAAGACTGGATAAAAATATGGAAGATTTATACAATGGAGTATTACTTGTTTTTAAAGAGTATATCATTCAAATTGAAGTCAAATGGATGTAACTAGAAAAAAGTCATTTTCAGTAAAATATCTCAGATTCAGAAAGATAAATATGATATGTATTTGCTTATATCTGAATATTAGTCACTAAATAAATGATAACCAAGTTATCATCCATAGACACAGAAAAGATAGACATAGAGGAAGGGACTATGAGTATATATAGATCTCCCTTGAAGGGGAAAATAGAATAGATTATATGGGTAGGATGAATTTGGGCTGAAGGGAATGATGAGAACTGGAGGATCAGGTGGGAAAGGCAGGTGAGCATGATTGAGGGAGAGAACGATTGGAGAGCCAACTAGAATTGAAGGTAATTTGAAGAATGGTATGGAAACCTAGTTCTATAGAAAGTAATAAGAATAGTGATATTCTGCTATATGCCTAGATTGGTGCCTTACATGATCAGAGAGGCTTCCTTGCAGCAAATTGGACAAATACAGAGACAACAGGTAGATATCATGCACAGAGAGAAACCTTGGGAACACAGCTTTTAAGGAGATATCCCCATCAAATACTCCCCAACCTCAGTGCTCATAAAACATAAAGTTGAGGAGGCAGGAGTAAGGGGGACAGAGGGTATGGAGAACATGAGGAGAGCAAGGCCTGTTAAATCTAATGAACAAAGCTCATATGAACTCACAGAGAGATAAGTAGCAATCGCGGGCCTAAACTGGTCTATACCCTATCCCCTGAATATATATGATAGCTTTCAGATGAACACCTTCATAGAAATTCTTAATGTGCAAATGGGTTGGTCCCTGATTCTTGTGACTGCTATTGAGGCTCTTTCATTTTTCTATTGTCTTGTCTTGTCCAACTTAGATATGATGTTTTTTGCTTTATCTTTTCTTTTATTTTGTAATGTTTGATTTTTATCTCTTAAAATCCTGTTCATTTTGAAGAAGAGAGAGAGAAAGAAGTGGGTATGAATGGGTCAGAATTTGGGAAGGAAGTAGGAGTAGAAGAAGGGGAAAATGTATTCATATTTTATTTTTTGAAAAAAATAATATGTTTAATAACATGGAAAATATAAAAAATAAAATTTATGAAGTATTCTACAGTGAAATATATTCTGTATTTACACACATAAATGAGTAAAATGAGAACTATGATATATTGAACAATTTGAACTAAGTGAGGTATGAGTATGGATAAGACTTTTTAAATATTCCTTTTTCATTTCTGAACAGTAAGATTGATGAGAAATAAAAAAGTATTATTATATATTGTATAACAATAACAATAATAATATATGCATATCATTGTTTTATTTTAAATTTCAATGGATGTTAATATTACATTCCTAACCAAAGACAACAGCATTTTCCAGCAAACTACTATATTTTGATTTTATGCAGCAGACTACAGTGAAGCAAAACCTCCCTTACCATGGTCTTGTGGACTTTGACTTCAAACTATATTTTAAAATATAAGTTAAGATGACATGCACCCAACACAAAGTTCCTCTGTATTTGTTTTTGGTCTCTGATTTGTGCTGCAATAGTGTAGAGATCTATGAGACAGGACATTAATGGGAATGAGTGATGATTTCTTGAATACACATGAACATCAGCCATTCAACCCTGCTTAAGTCCCTCCCAGTAAATTCATTTATTCACCCAATTATACATTCTCAAATCAGATTGGTATTTTAGACACCATTCCAATTTGGAAGAAGAACTTATTTGATGTTTTCCTCACAATTTTATGCAAAAAAAAGAAATTATAATTATTCGTGAGATAAAATATAATACTTGAATAAATGTATACTTATATGAAATATTTTTCTCTTGAAACATTTATGATTTCTTCTTGATAAGTCATTTGTCATCATTGTCTCTGCATTTTTTGAAATATGAATACATAACTCTTTTCTCCAGAGCTCCCATGTGAAACAGTAAAGTGGAATATTATTCTGTTCTTAATAACTGCGAATCTCATCCTTCCACCTCTACTCACCTCAACCTTGACTTGCTTCTCCATCACTGGTTTATTCTACACATGATCTCAAGTTATTAGATGCTTTGATATAAATGAGAGATTGTCATCAATTTTATGACATTTCATTTTGCATGTGATCATATTTTACATATCCATTCATTAGCAGATGGATATTTGGATTGTATCAGATTTTGGTTATTGTGAGTAGAAACTCAATAGACATGCACATCTAAATATACATTTTACACCTATATATATATATATATATATATATATATATATAATGATACTAATACCTATCTGATCACACACACACACACACACACACACACACACAGTCAAATAATGGAGTTTCTGAATCATTTGATCATCCTGTTTGAAAATCACTTAGTAATCTCCATGTTTTCCCATTAACAGTAAGTAGTATTCCATTTTTTTACTTTTACATTTCTGAAACCCAGTATGTGTATTACCACAGTAATGTTTCCCTTTTCTATTCTTATATCTGCTCTCTTATTGATGCCTCTAAATATCAGTTTCCAAATAAATTGTTTGTAATCAGATTGTGTCTTAGGGTTTCTTTGGAGGTGCTTTGAGCTAAGTAACTAAACATAGCTACTGCTTCTGTGTATCTAAACATTGGATGTGACATTTGCCAGAATAAATAAACAGGTTTTGTGAATCACATGGGAACAGAAGAAATATCATTTTATTATTTCTTATGTCAAAATGACATGATTTAAAATATAAGATATGGTTATTTAATATACTTTATAATATTTTTGATAGATTCCTGTTTCCCACAGTTGTAAAATCTGTTAGTAAATATGTAAAAGTAACATATATTTGTTCAGTAAGATATATTTAATGTTTACCCTGGCCTGAAAAGCATAATAACTGAAGACGTCCAATGAGCATAAAAATAGGGGTTTCTGTGTTTATAAACAGACTCTAATGACAGATATGGTCAGACAATTCTGACATAACATCTTTGCTTACTTAGCTTTTTAATGGTTTCTTTCATATCTTTGTTTCTTAATGTATAGATAACAGGATTCAGGGCAGGGGTTACAGCAAAGTCAACAATAAACAGGTATTTGTCAATTGATGATGTGGGAAAAGGCCACACATAGAGAAACATGCAGGGAGTAAAAAAGAGAACAACCACAGTGATGTGTGCTGACAGAGTGACAAGTGCCTTAGACAAGTCCCCTGAGGACCTTTTCCAGACAGTGACCAAAATGAAGACATAGGAGAGCAGAAGCAGGAAGAAGGTCCCCATGCTCATGAATCCACTGTTGGCAGCAACAACAAATTCAAATTTGTTTCTGTCAGTGCATGCGAGTTGTATGATCCGAGGGAAGTCACAGTAAAAGCTGTCTACTTTGTTAGGACCACAAAAAGGCAGGTTTATAACAAAAGAGAACTGGGACAGGGCATGGACGACACCAGTGACCCAGCCAGTGATTAAAAATGAGATGCACATTTTAGGGCTCATGATGCTCAGGTAGTGCAGAGGCTTACAGATGGCTGTGTACCTGTCAAATGCCATGGCTATGAGCAGCACCATCTCCACTCCTCCTATAATGTGGATAAAACAGATCTGAGTCATACAACTGCGAAAAGAAATTACTCTGTGTTCTTTCAGAAGATCTGAGATCATCTTGGGAACTGTGGTAGAGGAAAGTCCAACATCAATGAGGGACAGGTTGGCCAGAAGAAAGTACATAGGAGACTGTAAGTGGGAGTCAGTAATTACCAAAAAGACAATAAAAAGATTTCCCAAGATTATGCTTAAATAGAGCAAAGAAAAAATGTATATGAGAAAAATTGTAGTTTTCCAGGAACTGAAGAGTCCCAGCAACACAAACTCAAAAACTACAGAGTCATTTGTTTGATCCATTGTTTGGTACAGAGAAGAGGATATCAATGCACCTGTTGATAGAAAATGACCACGTTTTCATCAATGGTAGTAATCAATAGTCTCCATTGACTATAATTTTTTTCTTTTGATGGCTGTATTTATCATAGTTGGAGCTACATGAATAACATTCAGGAAGAGAAATATAATGACCAGCAGATCACACATAAAGAGATTGGAAGATCACAGAAAAAAATGTATACTAGCAATATAACCCAGATTATCTATTTAGATACGGTGTGCACAATGCTAAAGCAGAAAAATCATAGGCTCCTGGGCAAAAAACAGCCTCCTTTAACTATAGAAAATTATTAAATGCAAGAAAGTTGTTATCATCTTAAAAGGATGAAAACAGTTAACACTTTCATTGTTTTTTCCAAAACCAGGCATTTTTTGTTTTGTTTTACTTTGACTGTGGAGGTTGCCTTTATATTTTCCATAGGTCCTCTCTTATGAGTTTCCTCACTCATGTGACAATATTTTTGTTTTCTTCAGATTATTTCTTTGGTAATGAATTGCAAACTATTCCTAGCAGCATTTCTTACTCTTTCATGAACATCAACATTTTCCTTAACTAGTGTACCTAGCATATGATTTTTTTATTTGCATAAGTTAAGGAGGAGGACAGATGCATAGATTGAGCTCATTCACCATATTTAAATAATTACTCAAAATTATATAGGCTTGCAGCAATTTATTAATTCATTATTTCCTTCAATAATAGAATGTGCACATTTAAGTAAATATAATAATTAATGATAACATTTGTATGTAAGTTGTATTAAACAATTATTCTGGAAAAGGATCTATGCCTAAACATTATTTCCTTCAAACTTCACACAATTCTATGTTCTGTTTTTTTAGATTCATTTTATACACAGAGACACTGACTTTTAGAGGGATAAAGTACTGGAGCTACAACTGGCATACATAACTAAAGATATGGTAATCTATGTTCCTATTTACCACTCTGAGTTCTTTAACAACAGGCCCTTTAATTTTATGCTGAGATCTTTTTAAGGTATATTTCTAATTGACTAAAATTTATTCAGTTCTTATTTTCCTTAATCCACTAATATAGTGACTTCTCATTATAGTGTTGCTTTTTTAATTTTAAATCTAGATGCTGGGTGTGGGAGTGTTTAATAGCAGAGGATTACTAATTGAAAATCACTTGGGCTAGATAGTGAGTTGTAAGCCATTATTGGCTACTGGATATCTTGTGTCAAAATCCTAAGCAAGTAAACAAACAGAAAAGTGAGGCCCTGGAATTTTTTACACTAAGTGCCCTATTCATTCCAACATCTCCTTTGTAAGGTAATGATCAATTTTATTCATTCTATTATGGTTTCCTTTCTTCAGAGTATTTTGAATGAAGTAGCTCTAACTATTAAGATCCTAAGCAATCATCATATTAATCATAGTTTCTTTGGCACTGTGGCAGAATTTCATTCTTTATTATGGTCTTGTTGGTGTACATTTCTACCATTGGTTTTCTGATATCTATCAGTTATGTGCTTTTCCATTTATCATTCAACAGAAGTGCTATTTCCTCAAAATGTGCACGGAGGTATGTTAGTTTAAAATAAAAAATAAAGTAACATTTACTTTACATACTATTGTCTCCTTTGTTCCTTGTATTTAAGTTATTCTTAAGGATGTTTGAGGAGTTGTCTATCTAAAGATCAAGTTCTCAGCCTGGCCGTGGTGGCAGATGATTAATCCCAGCACTTGGGAGGCAGAGGCAGGTGAGTTGAACTCTGTGAGTTCAAGGCCAGTCTGTTCTACAAGAGCTAGTACCAGGACAGGCTCCACAGATACTGAGAAACCCTGTCTCAAAAAACCAAAAGAAGTAAATAAATAAAGATCAGGTTGTCAATGGGATTTTTCAAGTTAATCCCTAGATGTGTTTATTAAGAACCTTTTGTGGTTCTGTAGTATATTAGAAAAAACTTTGGTAAAATGTCATAATATTTCAAACAATTTTTCCTCAATGCTTGTAGGAAATAAATATAAAACATGAGTAATGTTTTTAACATGATTTTATTGGAATTTTTAGACTGTTAACTTCTTATTATAAATAAAGCATTAAATCTAAAAAGTAAAGAAGCATTTGTTAGAGCTATAGATTAACAGTATGTAATGAAATAGATGATAATCTAATTAAAAAATGTTATTTGAAAGAAAAGTGCAAAGTTTCAATAACCGGTAGCCAAATTATACAACTGTCTCAAAAATTAAGACAAAGAAGAAATATTATGTGCAAGAGATATAAACAAATATAAGAAATCAGTAATAGTTTGTTTATACAGAACAAAGACATAAAAAACAATGTGTATACATTTTATTAATATATTTTATTTTATATTTGTATATTTGGTACTCTGTATAAAATGGAAATTCCAAGTATTATAATAAAATAAAGCAAGTTCAGACTTTGTAAAATATCATTTGCCAGAAGACTAATCCATGAATTAACTTCAAAATTACTGAAAAGTAGTGGATACATAAGAAGGACTAACACAAAATGAAGAGCATGCAATTTGAAGATATAAACAATGAGTGGTGGGGCAGTAAAAGGAATACTATTTTGCAAAGGTTTAGAATGTGCCACAAACTTCTATTTAAAAAGAGATGATCTTATAAAAATGCAAAGAAATAACTGCAAATTAGTTACTTTTCAAAACACTTTTCAAATCATATACAAATCAATAAACATAATTTTACTAAAAAGCCTCTTTACCCACTAATCTATCTTGATATTATCCTGTAATTGGAATTAAATAACTATTGTAACTTATTCATCCCAATGTGAGTTGTTTTATCTTATAGTATTTTTTCAAATAAAAACATATATTTATGTTAATGTATATAACAGACTAATGAATATATATGCATATATATATATGAGGCATTACTAATATCTAATATAATGTAATATTATAGCAAAGCTACTAAATATGTTTTATTCATCATAAAATTGGTAATGTTTAAGAGACTTTTGTATAGATTTTCAGACTGGAAAGAATAATTTAGGTTTTATGAGAGACTCAAGATACAGACCTTGCTTTTGTATTTTACTGATCTTATTCTTTAGAGGGAAGGGGAAAGAAGAGTCAAAATAGTACACATATTACTTTAAAAAACTACTGCTTTGAAGAATATTGTAATTCCTCTCAACTCAGCTTTAACTGTGAGTATAGAAAGCAAAGGTTACAAATGAACTTGAGAGAGGTGAACTAGGTCAAATCAAAAGACACAGAAAATGTAGAATATGAAAAACAAAACCATAGAACATGTTGAGGGTTGTTCAGCCTGACACTAGGAGATTAGAGAATGGTCCTACACCTACCTGAGAAAGCATAGATTCTACCTTCAGCATCTTCAAGGGATGAGAAACACCAGACAGGAAGAACGTGCTTTCTAATTCACGCCTCATCATTACAACTAAAGGCACATAGCTACTTATCAACAGGAATACAACCAGTTAATGTGACTGGGAATAATATTCAATATCTACATAATGATTAGTTTTCTATAGGAACTTTGCCTCCTATAAATATTGTTTTCCCAAGAGGCACCTATTAATAACCATAGAAGAAATTATTGGTAAATGACAGATCTATTTGATGAGGAGTCCCTGTATGGTTGTGATAATGTTTTAAATTTGTGATCCGATGTACATTGAATTGTTGGACTTATTAAAACAATTGATAAGACCTGTTTGGTATCTATTAAATTGTGCTAATATCCATTTTTAAGAAATACATAGAAACGAATAGAAAAGAGTAATATAATGTACTATAATGCACTTTTAACTGTTTATTTAATATTTATACCTAAGTGAGATTTCATATTCTTCCAAAACCTTTTCTGACTTCTTTGATAATTTTCTGACTCCCATCACAGTCTTGCTTGTGATCCCTTTATGAAGATATGATCCATTCCTGTATGATGAGAGAAAAGAAACTCTTTAAAATGAATGTTTCCTTAAGAACTTTGGTATTCAGTGTATCAGACCCTTTAGGCTCAAGAACAAATTTTGTTCTGACAAATATATTGATCACTTCTCTTGGTGTAAGATTGAGATTGGCAGATTACAAAATATAAGAAATATAAATGATTCAAGGATAATATATTGTCATATATGCAATTGGTTTGCATAGAAGACTGAAAGTTCAAGAGAAAGAAACTCCAGAAAATATGGACAAAAAGTAGGATTATTTATTTTGTGAAACTATGGTTATAATTGTACTACTTCAAGTTAAAACTAAACACATAATAGAAAAAGAATAGACTTAGACTCTAGGGATACAGAATTGAAGAATTACAGATACATTGTCCATTGTTTCACTTATTGTTTTTCATATCAATATAAGACATAAGAAAAGATGAGGCTTCTGATATCACTAGAAGATACATTCCCATAGCAAACTCCCTAGTCCTCTGGTACTCACATGGTTTCACCGAAATGACTGCCCAAATATGAGGCAAACAAGGATGATACCAATGGACATGTCAAAGCACAGGGAAAAGTTCCTGAAGTTTCAACCCCACAAAAAAATGTATGTGACAAGGTAGAGCTGAGGTGGGAGGGTCTCTCTACCCTAGGAAAGAAGAGAAGGTTCGCCCTGAAAACATACATGCAAATAACTTTGTATGGATATATATATATATATATATATATATATATATATATATATATATATACACACATACATACATACATACACACACACAGACACACTCACGACACACACACAGACACATACACACAGATACACAGACACACACAGACACACACACACATCTCTGTGTGTGTGTATGTATGTATCTATGTGTATTATATATATGTATGTGTATTATATATATAATGAAATAGGAGGCCATGAATTTTAAGTAGTGTATAGAAGTATATGGGAGTGTTTAAAAAGAGGTTAAGGAAGAAAGACTAATGAAAAGAAGAATTATAATATAATATCAAAATGAAGTTGGATGATGATGGTGTACA